GGGGAGGGGTGTAAGGCAAAGGAATTAGCAAGGGACCTGCATCCGAGAAATGCAAGAGTCGAGAGCCAATCGATACAGACTGACGCAAACTGCAGCCGCTAATTAGCAAGCAGTTTGCTGATCGCATTCCTTGTGAAGTCGCCAATCCTCTGAACTAATGGCTGCGAAGTCCTCCTGTACTATACGCCGAAGCTTCCGTAATATGCCTTGTCGTACATCGGCATATCAGCACTCTACATTCCCATTTCAAGCGCGCTACCTGTAGTGCCAAGAACCTCTACACTTTAAGTATGCTATGACCTTTTACCTTACCTTATCCTTTGCTCTCCGTGAATGGAGCCATTTTTTGCTTAAGGTCTTAGATATTTACCTTCAAAATAAAGCATTTATTCCTCTCTCTGTCTTTCTCGCTAGCATCAGATGAATATTAATGTTTTCGACACTTCACATTTTAATTGTTCTTTGCACATTTACTCAGGTCTGACGACGACCTAAGGAACCAGCATCGAACATCTACCCAATAAAGTAACATTGTTTTCCAAAAGAACGCATTTGCTTTCAAATGATATCTCCTGGAATGCCTATCTTCCAATTCATACTGGAATGGCCATTTCTGGCTTATTAGTCGTCGTCAGCCAGTCATACCCAGACCCAAGTGGCGTCCCACCCGAGCCTCGAACTCGCGACCTCTTTGATCAGAGTCGAACGCCCTAACCGTTGAGCCACAAGCTCGTTGTCTCGTCGAGTGCTAATATCTCCAACCTAAACCAGCAAGACAACCAGCTCGTGGCTCAATGGTTAGAGCGTTTGACTCTGATCAAAGAGGTCGCGAGTTCGATGGACGCCACTTGGGTCTGGGTATGACTGGGCTGACAAGGGATAACAAACCAGAAAGGGCCATTCCATAGTCTCCCGCTTGTCTTTGCCGGCAATACCAGCTGCCTACAACCAGCTGTAATGGCTGTCAGGGCCTCTGTCGAGGCCCTAGACAGAGCGGGACAGATGAGTTCCGTTAGCGGTCGACTGAACATTGCTCAACGAATTCATACTTTATTAGTAGTAGGGCTTTGGCAGATTTAAATAATTCAACTGACCCAATTGTTAAAAAATCGGCGGCCACCGATGTCAGTTGGGTCCACTGAATCATTGAAATCTGCCAAACGCCTCCTGACAACTAAATGTGCCTGGTAATCATCTGGTGGATTCTAGATTGCTTACGTAGGAAATTCTACTTGGGCATTCAGCTTACTGTATCAGAATTGGTGGATTCCATACGTTGCAGTAAGCTAGGTGGGTAAATCAACCCGAGTGTGATTAAGCTCGCGGCTGCCGATGGGGCCTCCATAGCACAGACACA